TCACGGGGACTCCTTCCTCAGGGCCCAGTCAGCTCCCAAAAGCCCCGTGTCCTAACACTATCACTTTGAGGTCTAGGATTTCAACATATTGAAGCCAAGCCCTTGTCCCGGAGCTGCAGACAGCGCCCAGGTGGGCTGGAGTGAAGGTGGCCAGCCAGGGCGTTGGCTGTGCAGAGCCCGCATGCCAGCCTGGGCCCGAGGCATGGTGATGGTGAGCCAGGGCAGTGGCGAGCCAGCGTGTGCCCATCTGTCACCCCACAGCACCCCAGCCTGAGGCCCAGAGTGGACGCCCATTGCAGAAACCCGCTCCACACAGTGCACAGCTCAGTCCCCCTGAGCAGCCATGATCCATGACCTCCACCTCCCTCTTCCCACCAGCAGCAGGAAAACAGAGGTGGGGCAGACCTGGATGGGAGTGCAGGGCCAACCAATGACACTGGTACTTTTCCAAACCCTGATTAGCATAAATCTGAACCAATAACATTGACCCCTGGACGAGCACACTCAAGAGGCAGCCCCTCGCGGCTCCCCTCCCCTCCAGCAGGACTTCTATTTCTATTCACACTTGAATGAATGGTACCATTACGCTACTCATCCTCTTCTGTGGTTTCACTCCTTGGGTTTGTAGGACCAGAACCCAGAAAAAGGAAATTGCTGGTGAGTTGCTGGGGGTCTGCTGCAGCATTGAAAGGCATAGCCTGCATTAAGAGTTGCAGCACATTTCTTGCTTGTAAAACTTACGCAGACCCCACTCACCAGCAGAAATGGAGAAACTCTGGTTTGGTATGAGTTCTGAGGACCTCAAAAATTCACACTATAGCATGCTCTGACTTTGTTCTACATTTTCCAAAGTTGTTTGGCTATTCTAGTTTTATTTCTATAGCTATATACAGTTTAGAATCAGTTTGACAATTTGTACCAAAAATAAGCCTGATGGAATTTTGATTGGGAATACATTATATGTACAGGACAATTGTAGGAGAATTGCCTCTTAGTAATGTGGAGCTTCTGAATGTTTGAAGATACCATATGTTTACATTTATTCCATCTTTAATTTCTCAGCAATAATTTGCAGTTTTCAATGGATGGAAGTGGTGCATATTTTGTTAAATTTATCCCTAAGTGTTTCATGGTTTTGGTGCTATTGTAAATAGTATTTTTATTTCAATTTCAACTTAATGATTGCTAATATTTAGTAATATAATTAATTTTGCATGTTGAGTTTCATTCTGGGAATTCAGTATAATAATTTTATAGTTCTCATAGCTTTCTTTGTAGCTTCTTGAGATTTTGTATAGCAACAATCATGCTTCCTGGAATAAATACACATTTACTTCTTCCTTTCTGATTTGTATGCCATTTAGTTCTTTTTCTTACCTTATTGCATTGGCTAAGACTCTAGTACTATGCAGAGTAGAAGTGGGAGAGCAGACATACTTGTTTTTCCTCAATCTTTGAAGGATATAATTTTGTCTTTACCAACATGTAGGATATTTGTTGTGGGCTCTAGGCACAAACTTTATAAAGTCGAATGAGCACAGCCTCCAACAAGCCTGGATCAAATAGTAGCTTTGCCACCTGAACCTTTTTGAGTTTGGGCAAGTTACTTCTCTTCTCTGGTCTTCCTCACTCAATGAGGAAAATAATGGTATTAAAATCAATGAAATAATAAACTGGAAATAAACAGTGAGATTGTGTGAGGTTCTGTGGGATCTGTGGGAAGACATCTCGCATGGTGGTAGTCTCCTTCTGCTCCTCCTTCTTCACATCGGGATCCATCCCAGGGCCTGGCACGTGCTAGGCAATGGCTCTACCTCTGAGCTACACCCCAGCCTGGGTGGTGGGTTTTCAAGGCAGGACATGGAGGGAAAACAGCACGTCATCAAAACTCTGCTGGCGATCCCATCGGACCCCAGCTCAAGAGCCTGCTACACCATCCTGAAGCAGCATGGTTAGGAAAGAAGAAAGAGATGGAGACAGGAAAGTTTCTCATGGAGATTCAAGCAACCCTCAGATGAAAGAGAACTATAAACCCTCATTTCAGAGTGTCTCCAAGGGAGTGAGAAAGGTAAGCTCTGGGTGGGCAGGTCCATGGTGAGCGTCCAAGCAGCACAGAGAGGAAAGGCTGTGACCCGGAATACTCACAACAGTAGAGAATTCATGGAAATTAGTCAACGAATTTTCAACCAAAAAAATTAGAAAAAATAGTAACAAAAAAATCAATAGGGGGGCTGGGGTTGTGGCTCAGTGGCAGAGCACTCGCCTAGCCCACGCAAGGCCCTGGGTTCGATCCTCAGCACCACATAAAAATAAATAAGTAAAATAAAGGTATTTTGTCCTACCACAACTAAAAAAAAAAAAAAAAATCAAAAATCAACGGAGGGAAGCACCCAGGAAAGAAATTTTAAATAATGATAAAATCAGAAAGATTTTGAGGTGGCTGAGGCCCAGGGAGCATACCCTGAAACTCCCTGCAAAAT